CCAGGGCATTCTGGTACAAGTTCGAGAACCACAGTGCTGGGACCAAATGGCTATAATGTGGGACTTCTGTGTGAATTTGACAGCCACTGTTGTTTCCCTGATTGGGTTTGTTCTGCCAGTGGTAGTTTCTGGATATGGAGCTTGTTTGTTACCCAGATGGGAGTTGGAAGGGGTAGTGGCTGCTTTTATATCTGGTACACGGACAGCTTTGATAAGAATAATCAGATCCTCAGTCATGTCTTGGAGTGGAGTGATGGGCAGAAAACATGCTTGGACCTGTCTTTCAAAAGCATCCCAAGGCCAGCAGGGGCAGCCTTCACTTACTGAGCCTCCTGTTCTCCTGACCAGCAACTAAAGAAGACCGTGGACGACCTGCAGGCCAAACTGGCCCTGGCAAAAGGCGAGTACAAGACGGCCCTGAAGAACCTGGAGATGATCTCGGACGAGATACACGAGCGGCGGCGCTCCAGCGCCATGGGGCCTCGGGGCTGCGGCGTGGGCGCTGAGGGCAGCAGCACATCTGCAGAGGACCTGTCAGAGAGCAAACCCGAGCCAGATGCTGTTTCTGGTGAGTCAGGGGCTCGTATACAAGTTGTGTGGTCGGCTTCCGGGGCTGTCTTCACCATCACAGAAGGGCCTCACTTGGGCGGGACCGAGGGCTATTTCTGGTGACTTAACATTTTGTGGAATGCTGTGTTCATCAAGTTGCTACTGAGTATTCCTCAAAATCAGGATTCTATGGTCAAGTAAGTTTGGGAAAATGTCCTATGTTCACTCCTCTCTGAGGTTCAAAGTGCATACTACAACATACAAGGGTCTGAGAAGCACTGCAGGAAAGAGCTAAGAACAGGGCTCTGGAATTAGGTTTGATTCAAATCCTCACCTTCCCATCATTACTAGCACATGATGCAGGCAAGGATTTTATCTTTCTGTTTCTTCAGCTGCAGAATGGGGAGTATGGTAGTACCTACTCTCTACTGTAGAGTGGTGGGAAAGATTAAATGAAATTTACATTCCACAGTGGTGGCTGTCACTGGTGTCTGACCATAGAGAGCCCTCTTCCGGGAAAACTGGTATTAGAGGTTTGATGTGGCTCCCTTTGTGTTAACCATGAAACCTCTCCAACACCGTCTTTGCACAATTCCTCTTCCTTTTCTGTGCAATGGTCCCCAGTGGCTCCTTCCCCAACTAATGTTCAAGTGCCGGGCCCAAGTAAAGGAAGAGGAAACTATAATCTGAGAATCAACAATATGAGGACTTTGATATGTATCATCTCATTTACCCTCTATGGAGAGGAACATGAAGCTCAGAGGTTAAGTAACTTGACCAAGGCTATACAACAAATAGTGAAAAAGGATTGGGAATCAGATTTGAGTCCATTTTGCCCCCAACATTTCAGTATTTCTCATTTATGGTAATCATCTATGGGATGCTACAAGGCTGTTTTTAAAGATGAGGGAGGAAGAAAGGGGAGTAGAAGAGGAAAAATCTAATAAGCAGGATTATGTGCAGGCAGAGGGACTAGCTAAAGGCTGAATTGGCTTTCGAACCATGACAATGACATGTCTCTGGGCCTTGGTTATTCTGGTCTAAAAGTAAGTGAAATTACAGAGCACTGGGAAGGCATCTTCTTCTGCAGCAAACTGTGACCTAGGTAGGCTCTGAGTGCGTCTTTTGAGATCAGAAGTCACCTGGAAGACAGCAAAGGTCCCAGCAGGTATTCCAAGCAGGGCTGTTTCTCCCAGCAGCTCCTGCTTCTGTTGTGGAGGAAAGCCTTGATGTCTGACTAGCTTTGTTGGGGGTCCTTTACAAAGGGCCAGCCCTCTTCCTGTGCAAGTGTGGACTGGGGTGGAGAAAAGTCCCTGATCTGTGGCTGAATTCATCTTCTACCTTTAGGCAGTGTCTACTGACACTAACTTGTAGGGCACACAGGCTATGACATTACTGCAAGGACACTGACCATGCATGGGATCCAGCTGCATCCACTTCCCTTTAGCTGCATTAGTCTGGTCGTGCATGCTGGGGAGGTCACGCTCCTTTTGTTAGGCACCCACAGTGGCAGGGATTCTGCAGTCCCATGCTGTGTCTAGCTGTCTGCAGCAGCAAACGCTTCTGGAGGTGTTTCAGGAATTAGGCTGCTATCAGAGCCTGTGTGACTGGTGTTCTCTCATCCTAGTGGCCTCCGAGGCCTTTGAAGATGACAACTGCAGCACCTTTGTGTCTGAAGACGACTCGGAGACCCAGTCTGTGTCCAGCTTTAGTTCGGGACCCATGAGCCCATCTGGGATGGCCGACCAGTTTTCTGCAGTTGTGAGGCCCGGCAGCCTGGATCTTCCCAGCCCCGTGTCCCTGTCAGAGTTTGGAGTGATGTTCCCAGTATTAGGCCCTCGCAGTGAATGCAGTGGGGCCTCCTCCCCGGAGTGTGAGGTGGAACGAGGTGAGTTGCAGCCCTCTCACCAGTAGTGCTGTCCCGGGTGACTGCCTTTGCAGCCAGATTTCTGCACTGTCCTAGACCTTGTTCTAGACTGTGACCAGGTCTTGGAGCCCCCAGGGCTGTGTGAATGTGCTGTTGGTGTTTATCACTGAGATAGTTTCCAAGTCCTGTTCTGGGGGCTTCCAGCTCCATAGCGTGGGTTCTGTCTCTCATCACAACAGTCCTCTTGATAAGCACATGCTAGAGGTTTCTGTTTCCCAGCTATTAAACGAGTATGACAATTTTCATCTCTAAAAATAAGGAAAATAGAAAACTCTCTGAGGAATAAAAGCAGCTATATGATGGAGAACCCTCTGTTATATATATGTGTTGGGCAACACTGGGAAATTCTAGAGGGTTAAGTTGGCTGATTAGTTTGGGCCTAAGTGACTCTTGGAATTGTCGACACTCACTTAATCTTTACATTTCTATAGGAGACAGAGCAGAAGGGGCAGAGAATAAAACAAGTGACAAAGCCAACAACAACCGGAGTCTTAGCAACAGCAGCAGTGATGGTGGCAAGAGCCAGAGCAGCACCTCCCCGGAGGGCCAGGCCTTGGCAAACAGGATGAAGCAGCTCTCCCTCCAGTGTGCAAAGGGACGAGACGGGATTATTGCTGACATAAAAATGGTGCAGATAGGCTGATCCAACCAAGATCCTGGCCCCAGTGCACACCACTATTTATATGAGAAACTGATTGGAGAACATTGTGCCAATAACCTTTAATATATGCCAAATCGTAAGTGTTTCCTCTGAACTGCACCAGGGAGGTTTCAGAGACCTTAAGGCTGAAGATTCTTCCTCTGGTAAGAGCTCTCGGGCTGGTGTGTTTGCAGAGCAGAATTGTTGCTGCAGGCGGGCTGTGACCAGGGCAGTCTCTGTGGAACAGTAACTGTCACAGTGTTATGGAAGCAATAACTAGTTCCCACAAAGAACCCAAGCAAGAAAGGGGCTGGGAAGCTGAGCCCAGCTGGGGTCAACAGTTTGATTCTCTCACCCCCAGTTGGGAAAATAGAGATGTTCTCTCCTTTTATATCTTAGGGCATCTAAATGAAAACAGAACGCAAGACAAAATTCAGATATTCAGAACATACCTTTTTGACCCAGTGAAGGCTTAAAAAAAATCCAAGAACATAATTCATTTATCATCATCTCTGATGTTCGAAAGGGGCTTTAAAAAAAGTATGTATGTTAAAACACCCATTAACACCATTTTCTATAAAGGTTACCATGAACTGCACTTTTTGGGATGGGAAAGGTGAATGCCAATGTTGGGATGGGGGGCCGGGGAGGTGAGGGTAGCAAGGACATATCATAGAAAGAGATTTGTGGTTGGGGAAGAAAAGGTTCTACAGCATAAACCTTATCCTACCAGCCAAGGGGACTTATTCTAAGAGAAGTGCATGTGAAGAATGGTTGCCACTGTTATTCTAGATTGACAAGGTGTTACTTTCTCTGTAGGTTGTAACTTTAAAAATTATTTAAGGGTTATGCTACACTAGTATTTCTTAGAGGAAACTGTCTCTTAAAGCTAGGAAAGGGAGTAGGCATGTGTTGGCAAAGGCTGTTAAATAGATGCAATGGAGTCTGTTATTCTAATAGTAAGTTAAGACTACTTTTCTTTAATGTTTCCAAGGCTACACATATTTAAGAGCACTGTATTTTATTTGTTTTAAAAGGAAAAAAGCAACCCCATTTCAAGTTGTTCGTTAATTCTGTCACAACTTGTATGTTTTAGTCATTTGTAAATCTCTTCATACTGTAGTGTTTTCTTCTTTTTTAATGACTAATACAGTATCTTAATTACAAGGTTATTTTGTACTTGTCTTAATACCTTGAGTGTAATAAAAACCACTTAAGAAAATGACTTAAAATGAGAAATCCTTACCTTGTCTAAACCATCTATTCTAGGCAAATTTCTTGCCATAGGAAGAGCATGGAATGCCGTGATCATCTGTTCTTATTTTCAATTAAAGTTATGGATCTTAATAATTTAAGCCCCCATTTACCAAGGTTTGAATTCTTTTGCTGCTACAAATCTGAGCAATTAGGGACAAGGTGGTTATATTCGAAAAGTGGTTCTCAACTTCTGCTGCACATTAGGATCTCCTACAAAGCTTAAATACTTCTCTGGTCTGAGCCCTAGAGATTGATTTAATTGTTGGGGTATGCTTGGGCATTGGGTTTTTAAAAGCTCCCCAGCTGATTCTATTCTATTTGGTCTAGCCAAAATGAATAATTTCCCTTCCTTATACACCCGTAGCACTGTGTGTGGAGCTCTCTTATAGAATTCAACATTACATTAACTTGCTCATAAACAGGTCTCCTCCATTAGATTTTTGAGGGCAGAGATTAGAACTTAATTCAGTTTGCATCCTGTAAGATTTTTTAACACAAGAAGTTCAAATCATAAATATGTTTATAATAAAGGCCATAGGAAATTACTTATATTTACCAAAGAGAATTCTCACTAGTATAATAATCTACCCCTGTCCTGAATGATAACAGATTTTTTTGAAGTATGAATTTTCAAGCAAATAATGAGTTCTTTAATCTTTTACATGGAACATACTTGATGAAGTCCTTTAATAATCAATTTCTCTAGGTTAAACTACAGTTTCCATAAGTATAAACATTTTATTTCAATTAAACGTATCAAATACAAAATAAGTTTGATAATTGTAAGAGATGATGTAAAATACCACCTTATTTTCAGATTTTTAAAATCTTGAGCATCATTCTGCTCTGATGGATTTTTATGTAAACAACTGGGAATTTACACACAAGACATTAGTATCTTGGCAATTTCTCTGAATGCAATCCCAATTAAAATATATTAAATTCTCAATTGTATTTTCTCCACAGTGCTGTTACCATTAAAAGCACTCAACTAGAGAGCAATTAAAAAGTACCAACTAAACAGTGATGTCTTCAATGTCTCAGACTACTACTTTTGTTAACCTGATAAAAAATGACTGCAACAGTGAATATATATACTTCAGTTCTCTTTACATGATTCAATGGGAGACAGGTACTAACTTTAACAACCTTCACTCGTAAGCATGAGCATCTTCATGCTAAGCTAATTAGTATTTCTTAAAGCTTTATTCTTTCATAACATCTGGGCAACAAACATTTAAAGTCATAAGTGATGCAGAATTAAAATCTGTAATGGTGACTATAATTCATTTGGTAATTAGTTGCCCAAGATGCACAGTAGAGTCACAATACAAGCAGGTTTTACCTTACAACATGCTCTGCCAGAAAGACAATATAAATAGTTCAGATTATACCAGCCTACCATTCCATTCAATGAGTCTATGTCCCTCTCATCTGGTCTCAATTCCCTCTTAGCAAAATCATATCACAGTGTGATTGAGTATAAACTTTAATCAGCTGCACTTTTTAAATACACTGTGGCCCCTTTTAAATGCAAGCCAATTCACAGACACACAAAACCATGTAAGTGGTACTTCTTAAGTAATTTATGGCAATTCTGTCTATACACAATTCTCACTAAGCACTCCGACTTGAGCACCGGATTCCATTTTTAGAGAATTAATTCTGTTCTTACTGTTTAGTGTCCTGCAGATTTGTGTCTTCATTTGAAGAGTTGATTGTTTGGTAAGTATAAAATCCAGTAAGTGCAGCCATTTCCCCATCACTGAAGCTGTGTTGTCTTGATGGGAATAATACTATTAAAGTCCAAGAAAAAAGGTCCGTCTTGTTTAGGCAAAAATGTACTGGGAATGATATTGTAAATCCCAGCAGGTATATTTTCTAGTTCCAGGTAGCAAAACCCACACCTGTATTTAGGGGAAATAAAAACAAGGCTTACAGAAGATGAAGCCACAATAAGCAAAGTAGAAATAAAATATAATCAAAATGCCAACCTTACCTGTAGTCACCACTAGATTTCCTCTGAAAGCCATGGGGACCAGAGTCTCCCACCACAGATACTGTTACAACTTCAAATCCAACACTATACTGCCTAGCAGTAAAAAGAAACAATTACTGCTAAGTAGTCTCAAATACAGACCTAAAAGTAAGCATACCTAAAGTGCAGATGTACTACTGAAGTCAAGTACAGGCTTTCCAAAGCTTCAGGAGGAAGCTTCCTACACTGAAACACATGCGTACTATTTTTACACTAAGTATAGAAAACACCATTTCTATTTTAAAATTGCAGCCATAAAGATTAATACATTAAACTTACTTTAGAAGAGACTACATTTTACTCTAGGCTCCCAAATAATAATGTTAAATTGAAATGATAAAAATACTGTCATTGTATTAGGCAGAACAAGTGGGACAGGAGAGAAGACCCTGAAAAAAATCTCAATTTAAGAAAGTAATTAGCATATGGTAGACATGGCATTCCAAATCAGTATGGAAAGGAAGTATTATTTAGGTGGTGATGAGGTGATAAAAAACTGTTGAATTGTATCTCACACCAAATATAAAAATACATTCCACATGGATTAAAAATATAATGTAAAAAAGAACCAGAAGAAAATACAGTGAAAATTAACTTACTATTTGGGTAGATTTCCCGCCCACAGCAAAATAAAAGACTGATTACTTTGAAATTTTTTTTTTCTATTAAATTTATCTGGGAAAAATACTTGCAAATATATGAAGGAGTTAATGTTCTTACAGACATACCCTATGAAAAACATGACAACTCCAACAAAAAAATGGGCAAGACATGAATTAGCAAAATCGGAAAAAATACACATTGTCAAGTATTTTTACATGTTCAATCTATCTAGAAATTAAATACATAAGGGTAATTAGATAGATACCTTATATCACCTAGAAGACTGGTAAAAGTTTTTAAAATGATTGTGAAAAGTAGCTTAGTCCTATTAGAATTAGTTTCTTTTGAATTTGTAAAGCAGGCACAATTAAGCCTAGTTTTATTTAGTACTATTTTTTAATTTGTATTCTCTAGTTTTTAAACCTTTTAAAATTGTAAAATATATTACAATGACATAGTTTGTAAAGTGAACAAACACCTGGGTTACCATCACCTGAATCAACAGAACCTCTCAGCACCACAGAAGTTCCTTGTATCCACCTTTCTCATCACAATGCCTGTGCCCACAAAACGTTCAATCACTTTCTTGCTTTGTATATATTGCGATTATCAAAGTATGCATCCTTAAACAAGTTTAATTTTGCCTGTTCTTGATTTCATGTAAGTGGAATCATGTAATATATATATTGTTATGATTGGCTTCTGTTTTTCAGCATTATTTTTAAAACTTATCCATCATGTAGTGGGTAGCTATAGTTTATTTTCATTGTTATGTAGGACTATTTTATGACTATTTTATAATCTTAAGTGCCACTGATATACATCTGGGTTGTTTCAAATTTTTGGCTTACAATGGTTTACTGGCCATTTGGATTATCTTTTTTATGACATGCCTGTTCAAGTTTTTATTTAAAAAAAAACTGTAGACTTTTTCCCACTAATGTAGCACATGTAAAAATATTTTTATTAAGGTATCTCCTATAGTCATCCACCTGGAACTGATTTTGCGATCTGATATTAGACAGGGGTCTTAATTACCAATTTTGGTACATGGATACTCAAATTATTTCAGCACCATTTATTGTACAGAGTATCCTTTTCCCACCCTTATGCAATAGCATCTTTAACATAAATCAAACATTCATATATGCATAGGTCTGTTTCAAAACCCTATTCTGTTCTTCTAAGCTCATTTTTAATATAACATTAAGAAAGTTACTCATCACAAACCTTGGTCCTCTTAGTTCAATTAGTAATGGCCCAGTCTTTTCTATATGGAATTGGTAAATGGGATTATTTTTATGAGTCTCTTGGAAATTTGCACATCCTCCAGCACTCTGATCACTCCACTTTCCATGAATCTAACAAAACAAAGTCTGTGCATTAACAAAACTCCACATTCTCCAATTCTATGTTAAAGAGAAAACTCCTTCACAACCGCGCCCTCCCACATCTCCTCAAAGATGGCAACTCCCCACTCTGCGCCCCCCCACCCCCAGGTCTTTGTCACCTACAGTGACTGTCAACGTCACTCTTCATTCCAGCCAGGCTACTTTGCTATACTAAGCACTATCTCCATCTTTCAGCTTTAAATCAAGTTGTTCTCCCTGCCAATAATTCTCCCTCACATTCTCTATACATCTAGCCCACCCTGTAAAGTCAACCCTCAATTTAAGAGGTTCATCCACATGGCTTTCCCTAATGACAAGGTTTATAGTAATCTTTCAATTTCTTATTTCTGCTCACAGAATCACTTAATGTTGCTTACTGAAGATCTTGTATTCCAACTAAGATTGGATAGAGGCTATTTACATTTCCCTTATTCCTTTCAAGTTCTGGACAATTTTATTTTGTAAGAAATTGTTAAATGTGAAGAATGAAAACAGAAAAAGAGAAAAAGGGAATTCTAAGATTTCTCTGAGATCATGACCCAGAGACATTTCTCTTACCTGCTTTGATAAGGTGTACGGTGAAGGAATCTTTGAAAAAGTAAAGCTGCATGCTGAATATACCTAGATTAAAAAAAAATATTGTACTGATCAAGTTTATACTTATAAAAATACCAAAGTGAGAAAAGAATATATTGGAAGTCTAATAAATTAGTTGGCACATATAAAAGTCATATTCTGTAGGCAGCCTGGAATCAATACTGGTTTAATGAAGCTAGGGGATGTGGTATTCACTTTCTCTGGCACTGTGTGTGACTCAGGCCAAATCACAATTTCTGTAGGGCTTGTCTTCTGCATCTGAAGAGTGGAGGCAGCTCCCCAATGTCCCTTTCATCACAAAAAATCTATTCTAAGTGAATTTCTTTACTGATCTTTGGCAGAACAAAATTACAATGATCTTCCCAACTTGTAAGAGCAATGTTTATAGGCAATCGATTCCCTTCCACTAAATTCAGCATCTTCTTTTTCAAGTCAGCAAAGGTATTATGTAGGCTAAAGGAGTTTCTATTGCTTGCTCTGTAAATTTATTAGTCCAATGTACCACATTACCTCAGGACTAAACAAACTATTACTCTGGAAAAAAAATGCTTATTGAAAATGTTATGCAAAATTAAAAGATTACTTTTCAAAAGCATTATTTTAAACATCATAATTTAATATTGAATTGATACACATAAACACACACAAAAAATACACACATTTTCATAAACTTTTTCTGTAGATAATCCCACTTACAAAGCAGAGTACATAATATACTTTATATTGTTTTGTCACTGTATGTTGGTTTACTTACCCGGACTGTGTAATGGATTGTATTCTGTTTTTCATACTGAGAAACCACTAATGTAAAGGTATGGGTCCCAGGTGTGGTCAGCTTTATCTTAGTCAAATAATGAGGGCTGTTAATTCGAATCCCATCAATGTATGGGGGCGGGTCAGCTGCAATAAACCAGTGGGTTTACAGTAAGGAGACTTAAATTTAAGTTTTATGGTTGATGGTAGGAAAAATACTTAAATGAATGGACATCCCCTTAATTGATTTTATCTCTACAATGTTACTAAAGAATTACAATTGCAATTAAAAACTTTATAAATAAATTTGAAACTTTAAAATTAATGTTTCTAATAAAGCAAAAGCAATCTTTTAGAATACATTCAATGATATATAGGATAATCCCTGCTCTCTGCCCTATGCTGCTTTCCTTCAGGATTTGCTTATTTTCTTTTGAGAAAATTTTTAAAAAGATACAAAGAAGTAATGAAAAATGTGTCTATATTCCCCACTACTCGGAATTAAAATTTTTTTCTATATTAGATTTCTTATAAAACAAAGTCCCTTTAAACCACCACCCTTAGTCTTATTCCATTCCACTCTGAGGAAGTTGGTGGACATCTTTTCAAACTTTAACACCCACCTCCCCCTGCACACCCCCAAAAGAATGAATGGGTAATTGTTATCTGTGAGCATATATTTTAAAAAAGGATTGTATGTCTTGTTTTATATCTTTATTTTTCACTCAACATGTTTTTGAAATCCATGCTGTTCTAGATATGGTTTATTTCTTTTAAAACTGCCTCTATAATATTCTATTGTATGAATATAACACATTTTATCTATACCCATATCTAGTTACCCAGACAATCTGAATATTCAGATTATTTCCAATAGTTTGCTATTACAATGCTGCCTGATACATACTTTTATTAATCTCATCAATCAAAGCTGACATAAAATCATTTCATATATGTGCATTACTGTAGGTCATTTTAGATCAGTGCTATATCACTTGGCTTACTTGGGAACACTGACTATTTATAATGTGATCTATTAGAAAAACATTTTATTTTAAATCCTCATCTGAGGATATTTTTTCATTGACTTTTTAGAATGGAAGGGAGAAAGGGAGAGGGAGAGGGAGAGAGAGAGAGAGAGAGAAAGAGAAACACCGATGTGAGGCACATTGATTGGCTGCCTCCTGCAAACATCCTAACCAGGGCCAGGAACCTGCAACCGAGGTATGTGCCCTTGACCTGAATCGAACCCGGGACCCTTCAGTCCGCAGGCCAATGCTCTATCCACTGAGCCAAACCGCCTAGGGCAGAAAAACATTTTAGAATCTCAAACAGGTAATAGGTTTCTAATGCTTAGAGGTGTGTAATCTAGTGTGAAGAGGAAAAGAATGAGGATTATCTCTGATCTTGGACAAGGTTTTAAACCTTTCTATATCTCAGTTTACTCTTCTGTCAAAAGGGGAACAGTAAGGCCTGTTCTACTGATCTGAGTGCTATGATAAAAATAAAATTACAAACTAGGAATACCTTGCCAAGGCAAAAATCACTATTGTGGAAGAGAGGGATCATTGTTAACCCTTTTCAGTCCAACCTCGAGGCTGACTCGACAGATCAGGCGCTAGGAGCAGGTCCAATGTCGAGCAATAAGAACATTAAAAAGTTCAACATTCAATCCCGTCAATTAATTTGGACCAGATTGTTTGAATTCCAAAAATAACATTGGACTGCAAAGGGTTAAAACAGATCCAAGTAAAAAGGGTAACATATATTTGAAATTCAAAAGCAGTGTAACACTGTAACACTAGGAACATTTCACAACACTTTTTGGGCTGTATAATGACCAACATGTGAAAATGGAAAATTTGGCTGGTTTAACCACACATTTATCATTGGAGTACTATATTCCATGCCCATTCAAGAATATCTAGGGATCCTGACTGCTAATATCAATGCCAAGACACACCCAGTGTGATGGGGCAGAATACCATGTTCTACGATTAAGCAAAACAAACTTCAACTTCTGATTCCATCTCCCCCAACACTGCCCGTTTCTTTGCACAGCCTTCTTGAAAGAACAGTCAACAACTGCCCCTTACTTCACAGTCTTTTCGCAAACCACACTATTTCTCTTCCAAGTCTGTTCCTGTCAGGATCAACAATGAGTGCCATGATGCTAATTCCAATGTCTCTTCTCAGTAATTGATGTAGTGGCCATTCTTTCCCTCATGAAATATTTCTTTTCTTGTATTATATGAAACCTTACTATTTCATCAGGTACTCTGTTCAAATTCTTTTGTGGTAACTTTGCCTTTGCTTAATCTTAGGATGACAGAATTCAAGGGTCAGGTCCTGGGTGATCATCTCTGTACCTACAACCCTCTCCATAGATGATTTTATACAGTGCTCTCTTCAAATGACTGTGCAACAAGGGCACAATGTGTTCAGGAGGAGTACCTCAATGAGGGTACTGTGAAAGGAGGTGCATGAGATAAAGGGTGACAGGAAAGTTAAGGCCAGAATTATACACCAGGATAAAGAGCTTGGATTTTATCCAAGAGTCCATGGAAAACCATAGAATTTTTGATCAGACAAAGAATATATGACTTAAGTTTTAGAAATAAAACTCTTACAGCAATGTGAACTCCCAAATTTCTGAGGACTCTATTAAAAACAAATGAAAACAAAACACTTGTAGCATAAACATCTATTTGAGTGGTTTCTATTAATCTATCAGCATAATTTTTTCTGTACATTACCTCCATAAAATGTAATTTTCTACTTAATCATATCAATAAAAATTTAATGTTTGTTTGAATGTTTGCCTACTAAACATACCTGGATAATATACCTTTTTTCCATCAGTCTTGTATACAACCATTGTGATAAATTCTCGATTATTTGCAAAATCATCCTAAAAGCACAAAGAATCCAATATGGTTAAGGAAATGGGCTCAAATGCTCTTAATGGGGGGTGGGGGGGGCTCTAATTTTAAAAGAATTTATTTCAGCTACTTTGTGTGATTAAAATAATTATTTTTCTGGATTAAATTGTCATTCCAATAGACTGGCCATATTGTATGAAAAAATATATTAAAAAAGACTCTAAAGCTATTAAAATATGGTTACCCTTTACAGAATCAGGCCTAATGATTCAAATTTCCAACTCCCCCTATAACACATTTTAATTTTAATATTTTAAAGACCCAAAGCATATATAATCAACATGAAAATCCTCACTAACAGCATAAACTCCCTCATGTTTTTCTTCAGAGATGATTTAAAAATATACATTTTTATTGATGAGAGAGAGAGAGAGAGAGCGAAACATCAATGATGAGAGAGAACCACTGATCAGCTGACTCCTGCACACCTCCTAAGGGGATCGAGCTGCAACCCAGGCATGTGCCCTTGACTGGAATCAAACCTGGGACCTTTTAGTCAGCAGGCTGACACTCTATCCACTGAGCCAAACCAGCTAGGGCTCTTGGCTAGGGCTCTTCAGAGATGATCTTTGAATAAAACTTCTAAGAGTATGATTACAAATGATAAATTTCCTTAGAGGAAAATATTCATTTATCTACGAAAATACCATTTTCAAGCCACCCATATAAATAAAACAGGCTGATGATTCAATTACATATTTTGTTCACAATAGTCTAGTTATTTTTAAAGGAGTTTCTATATGGAATATCATAAGAAGGGTATCAGTACCTTGTCTGTTATGTGTCTACTAAGCAAAACCCAAACTGCAGCGCCCCCTTGTGGACACTGCACCTCCAACTTGTACTGGGGATTGTTGGCCAGGCTATAGGCATCTTTCACAGGTCCTTGCTTAGCATCCCAAGTACTAAAAGATCAAGTCAACAAAGAAGGAAATAATGAAGTGTTGTGTTTCAGATATAATTAAGTTACCAGGTTTAGTTTTTACAGTTTCTGGCATGACTAAGAAGCATATATAAAGAAAATAACTATTACATGATAGTCATTTTGGGGAATGACAAAAAGAGATAATACTAGTCTTCCTAAATTAATCATTTTATTTTAAATAAAAAATGTGAAGACTACTTTAAAGCATATTCTGAAATATGCAAAGAAGTTACCTGTGAATACATGTTGATTCTTTAAAAAGACCTGGATTCCAACTCAAATAAATCACATCATAATATTGGCAGAGATCATCCCATGAGATCCAAAATATTCCTAAAAATTAGATATCTTTATTAATCTAAAAATATCTTAATAATAAACGACTTGTCAGTTAAACACATTTCACATTATTAAAGCATGTTATTTAGAGATCAAATAGTATTAAAATTACAAAAAGATGTATTTACCATTGTCTATTTTTTGAGCTGTTCTAGGATCAAAGTTTAAATATTTTTGCAACTCTGGGGTCCAGTTTTTTACATCATTTTCACTATATCGTCCTTTCCAACGTAAATGACTCCAGGGATTTTTCAACTGGATAAATCGCAGCCCCTATTAAAACGAAAACAAAAAACAAAACAAAACCAGGAGATAACAAAGTTGCAAAAACAGTTTTTACCATATTTTCATAAATTGTATCATTCTCTAAGGGAGGATGCATTTTGAATACGTATCAATTTTCTTCAAATAAATTTGAAATTAATATTCTTTAACACTTTCACATGTCACACATCTGATCAAGAACTGCAACTGGCTACCTATCCTTAGAGCTATGCAGTTCATATGGTAGTGACTACTTAAAATGAAATTAAATAGATTTTAAAAATCAGTTCCTAGTCACACTAGCCACATTTTAAATATTCAAGAACCACATGTAGCTAGTAGCTAAAGAATGGCACAGCACAGAGAACATTTTCATTGCAGGCAGTGCTGCCTTAGAGCATCAAGTATTTCCTGTTCTTTCAGAGCCTACTCTACACTGGCCCCACCATTTTCATACCCCACATTTCTTTGTCTAGTCTAGTCTTTCCTCTCAGAATCCCATAAATAATTCTTATTCAATTTCACCTCTAAAGGCATTTGTTCATGTCGTTTCCATTTCCTGGAAGGCCCTCTCTGATCCCTTTGAACTCTTTCAGATCCTCTTTAGCTTCTTCCTCTACTGATTATCTCTGTGAAGACTGAAGCAGTGAAGAAAAGAGTGAAGAAACCTGTCTCCAGGCCACAGCTTACTCCATCTACACATGTTCTAAAGAGCCTCAATCTTTACAGAATAACTGCCATTAAGAATTGATACTGTGTGATTTTTAACTTAAAAGGCTGTTACTTGAAATTCTTATTTTACTGGCAATCAGGGATTTTGAAATGCTTTATTTTCAAGTAAGACCAGAGGTGCCTATTATTCTCATAAACATGTTATTTGTTTAGTTTCCTTTGATCATTCAGAACAAATAGTTTTATTATTCAAAGTAAATTACATCTCAGAAATTTTCCTCAAACTCAAACTTACTTTCATATTGCCTGTTTCATTATCTAAAATTTAAATCTTGTGGCACTACCTCAATATTGGTCACTTATTATACCTACCTCAAAAAATGTTTTAACAATAATATATATATATATATATACACACACACACACACACACACACACACACATATTAATAGCGACTTTTATTCCCAATATTTTGCTTGTGTTTGTTTTAGAATGTAATTTGCTATAAACAAACCTCTCAGTTTATTCGATTCATATAAATTCTTATTTTTTTCTTTAAGTAGTCAAATTTTATGTCATATTTAAAGGAAGACAATTCTACAAAAACTGGCTGATTTAGAAAGCCTTGAAACTATATATTTTTAAATGTTGTAGCCTTCATAATTCATGTAATTCCACAGGCCACTAAGAAAATCAGTCTTATTAATACACAGCAGTTATTGTTGATTGATCACTGATTCTATATATTTAAGCAGGGGAAATTGAAAGACACTGTTAGTTAAACTTCCCAGTGACTAGACAGATTAGGTACCAATTTATTAGAGAAAAAAAATCCTTCCTTAAAAATCTTTCTATTTTCTAATCTATAGGACAGATCCATTTTTCAGTTAAAAATAATCAATAATCTGAAAAATACTGAAGTCAACCATTTCAACACCTGAGCACAGAGAAAGGGTCTGAGAGGTCTGAAAGCATATAACGGCTACCAGGAAGAGAAAGAAACACTTGCAAACCCACTGGCATGTTTCTTCATCACAGGTATCTTATTTTTGGCATCCTTTCTCAAGTATGTACCAAATGCAACTATGCTCTAGAGCAGCGGTCGCCAACCTTTCGGACCTCACGGACCACCGGTTGGTGACTGCTGCTCTAGAGTCTAACACTGATTGACGCCAACACCAATGTACTGTCCAAAACCTTGGGGGTGTGTATTCACCTCAACTCTTCTACTTGCATGGAAAAGAGAAAGAGGCATATAGTATTTCTGCTGTCACCAATATCTACGTTGTCACTGTCATTACATTTCTCATCTTTTTATAATTCCCAATGACAGATCAAGCTGTTTAATGTAATAGGTGAAACGCTTTTAAAACTTTGCCTAAACCTTGATTTGTCCGTATTCTAAAGTCCAATATATTATTTGGGATCCTTGTAATGTCTTATTAACAAACAAGAAAAATAGAAAAATATTTAAGGTAAAACCTTGAACTCTCTAATATCCAAAACAGCATATGCATGTGTGGGAACCAGGCCCCACTTTTCTCCTTCAGCTTCAGTCATCATTCCAGTTGATGCAGTGATGAGGACATCCCCTTTGTGAAACCTGGAATCACCCAATAGACAAAGATTAAAAGAAAAACATTTATAATCTCAGATCACATCATCTTTCCTTTTGTCTAATGGTTCCCATGAACATTTCCACAAATTTAAAATCTTTTAAAAATTAAGCTAATCCCAACACCCTTTGAAGGACTTTAACAAGAATTACATTTCCATTTCACAGCTTAATTTATGTGAGATAAATTATCACATCCCCCACCCCACCCAGTTTTAAACATTTGAAGGAAAGAAATGCTAAATTTTCAAATGATTTACAAATAAAGATGAAGACATAAAATGCCAAATGGACTTCCTCCAAAGTAATATTCATTATCAAATCACTGAGTTTTTTAGTTTCACTAATGAATGTGTATTATTTATAGATAGTTTTCCAGTCCCTATATGTTACCAGTGCGTTTTGAAGTAAAGGGGGCTGTATCTATCCACTGCCCTAGATTCTATGAAATGAACTGAAGAGCAACAGCCACTCCCTCCCCTACATATCATTTAAGGCCTCAGTTAACTTCCTCTTTATGTTCTCAGACTTCTCTTTTCCCACCTTCCCTCAAATTGGTAAGTATTAAGGAAGTAAAAAATTTTCCCATATTAAGACAGTCCAGATTCAAATGTTTTAGACTATCTATAACCCGGGTTAACTGTGTATCTATAAATAATTGAGGGCTGGTTGTAGCAAGTACATAAGTGAAGTCAATTAAAAACACAATTTCCCTAATAATGGAAAATGGCAGTCTCTGTAATATCTATTCTAAATAAGGTATGTAGTTTCAAAACAACCTTTTACTATGAAAAGAGAGAGAGAGAGAGAGAGAGAGAGAGAGAGAGAATGTTTACCTTTGATAAAGCATTCGGAAAGAATTATCCTTACTGAAAGTCTGGCTATCTGAATGCATAGCAATCCTTTCTGGTATCCACCCAGTCAGTGCATGAAGATCAATATTCTGCAACATTAAACACATTTCAGGACTGTCAACCTTTTTTTTCAAAATCTAAATACATCCCCAGGATAGTTATAAATCTTACTGATTTGATATAATGATTTTGACAGGAATAAACCAGAAGTTAATGTGTTTTTTTTTCTATCAGTAATAAACTTCTTGTAACTCATATTCCTACCTGGATTTAAGCACAAGCTTACAATCTTTTCCTAAAATCTTTACTGCTTTCCCTGAATAAACATGAAAACCCCAAACACATAACAGGAAAAAAAAACTGCTTTAATA